TTAACTCTGTATTAACTGTATGTATTAACTCTGTATTAACTCTGTATTAACTGTATGTATTAACTCTGTATTAACTGTATGTATTAACTCTGTATTAACTCTGTATTAACTGTATGTATTAACTCTGTATTAACTGTATGTATTAACTCTGTATTAACTCTGTATTTACTCTGTATTAACTCTGTGTTTACTCTGTATTAACTCTGTATTTACTCTGTATTAACTCTGTATTAACTCTGTATTTAGTGTTTAGCTGTCAGTTTGTGTCTGTAGCTGAGGTCACATCCAGAAATGTTTTGCTCGTTTGAATCAGTTCAGCAGTTGTTTGTTTGTCGGTGTGTGTCTGCAGCTGCAGCAGCAGACACTCTGAGGGTTCAGATGATTGCAGCGAAACACGCGAAGGTCCAGAATGCAGAGCAGCAGCTCCAGTTTCTGATGTTTATCTGCAGAAAAACAGATTATTACACAGAATACAGATCTGTGTTCAGTTCTTCTTAGAGTTCACACAGACAATACTTTGATCTACTTGTTTAGAGCTTCTGAACGCTCCTTCAAAATAAAAGACACCATGGTTCAGGTCCTGTTTCAGGACTTGTTCCTCTGTGAGCTCTAAAAGCATTCCTGGAGAGAGAAGAGCTGTTGACAGTCTGACTCTGTATTCTCATGGTCCCACAGCAGAATCTGCTCTTCGTGTGCGTTTACTTTAGCTCATGCTTTCTAAATTCCACTATAATTGAGGATCTCTGGGGAAAGATCTTAACAGCGATGGTTCCAACTATAAATAACAAACCCTGGCTCTCAGACATGCATGCCACACTCATGCACGAACTGGAACATAGTCTGAAAGTCGCACTGAATAAGATTAACAACATCTAGTTTTATATCTTACGCACTAATCTGGGCTGAAAAAGTGAAAAATAGATTTTTTTAAAGCAACAAGTTTTGAGACGTTTATAAATTCTGTCCAATGTGTGGGTCAGCTGAGGTTCTGCTTGTTCTGATGTCACACAAGCAGTTCAGCATGACAGGAGCTCTTTAATTGTCTGTGATATGAAGAGTTATTATATTAATGCAGTTTGTTTGTGACATGTCCAACAGGACCCAGGTCTGGTTTCATCAGGTTTCAAAGCTTTGTTTTCTGAAAGATTCTGACTTTAATAAACATTAGATCAGTTTAAACTGTAAAGTCTGTAAATAAAGTTATTTTCTACCAGCAGTTATTTAAAGAAAGCTGCATTTATTTAATGATTTGAAATGAATCCTGCAGATAAGAGCTGGTTCTCAGGGAGATTCCTGTCACGACTTATTTCTGAGCTCAAAGTGTTTCCAGATGCGTTTCTGTGTCTGTTTTCTGCGTTTTACATCAAGAGACAGACTGTTTCTGCTCTCCTGCAGCCGGAGGCCAGTCGACTTTAACAAGACTAACACAACGTACTTTTTCAAAACACATTCAACAACAGAGAGCTCATAAAACGCACCGCCTCGTCTCGCTGCAGAACTTTACGTTCTGCTTTCATCATAAAATCTACACGAGGGGCTTCAGACAGCAGGGTGCAGCCAAAACACGCCGAGGTCCAACCTGCAGACAAACAGCTGAAACTGAGGTCCAACCTGCAGACAAACAGCTGAAACTGAGGTCCAACCTGCAGACAAACAGCTGAAACTGAGGTCCAACCTGCAGACAAACAGCTGAAACTGAGCTTCAACCTGCAGACAAACAGCTGAACAGAGTCACAGGACTCAAGGTAAAAGTTTAGTGAACGTACAGGTACAGGTGCTTGTCATTTGGACCAGGTTAATGCTGTGGGAACAGAGAGGTATGGGTCAGTCTTCTGTTCCAGATATCTTGTAGAAGGTGAGAAACAACTCATTCTTGTTTCCTTACAGATTCGAGGAGGTCCTTGTTGCCTGGAGAGAAGCGAGGGTCCAGCAGTGCATGAGATTCAGGTGAGTATTTACAGGTGAGTTTTAGTTGAACTTGGTGGTGGTACAGGTGGTAGGCAGGCAGGCAATTTCACAGGTGAGCTTGGCGGGCATAGAGAGGATCCACAAGGGGTCATTTCCACAAGTAGTCCAACTGAATACACACAGGGAGAATTACTCTAAAGAGAACTAAATATTTCAAAAACAAAAGATATGAACATTGACTTTCGTAAAGCTCCTCAGCCTCCATCCCAAATATTTATTATATTTATGATATTAAACACAGGATCAAAGCTCTTTTTTTAACTCATCCTTCCTATGTGTGTGTATTCTAAACTGCAAGGTAGCGCACTACATTGCGCAGGGCCCTGGACATTCGTTCCCCCATGTTTGTCATGTGTGTGTTTCTCTGGACGATGTTCAAAACTGCAAATTTCGTTCTGCATTGTATCTTGATGTTGTGTTTGAATGACAATAAACGATTCTTGATTCTTATTAATGACACTGAAATTGAGTCTGTTGCAATCTATAAATACCTGGGATCAACAATTGATAAGTTAGCTTTCAATTTGAACACTGATTTTATCTGCAAAAAGGGACCGCAACGATTATTCTTTTTAAGGAAGCTGAACATTTTTAGTGTAAACAGAAAGATCGTGAGCCTTTTTTATAAGTCTTTTATCAGTGTGCATCGCCAATGCAATGCACACTATTGTGATTTGTTTCCCAATCAAGTCATCTCCACYTYGMCACGCTTCTCCTCCTGCATACTTTGTCCTAGAGCTGCCATTGTAATTTATATCTGTAAAGCTCCTGTGYCAAATGATGGCTTTGACCTTTGGTGCCTGTACAACTTATAGTTTTGGAAATATTAATGTTTAATAATTTATAATGGGAATCAATGGAGTCTTGTATTGGTCCAATACTACCCCCTGCTGAATCTACTCAGTACTGCACCATAGTTCAATAATATTTAATCTCAATAGTTCAGTGTTTACAATACTAATATGATTGTATTTTGATGTTTTACTGTAATGTTGTCTTAATACTGCTCTATTGTTGTAATACTCTGCAGTTTAGTGTCAATAATTGTATTGGCAATGTGGCCACTTTCTGCACACCTACAAACCAACCCCTGGCACCACCCTCTGCCACAGCTCTAATGGTCTCATGGTYAGTGCCATGGGCTTTCATGTAGGAGATCAGGGTTTGAAACCCAGCAACAGTAACTTTAACAGAAAATCTCTTCAAACTTCATATTGTCACACAATTACTCTTATCACAAACACCTGCTGACGTGACAGGTACAAGCTGGTATAGAAAAMACATTTGAACTTGGTCAAAGTTTATTCTGCAAGTCCACTGCTGCAGGCAGACATGCTACAAGGCAATGCACACTTGYTTTTACATCGTAAAAACACATGTCTAGTTGAATCTGTTTTAACTTTTTYTATAGTTGCTTGGTTTGGAAATSTAAGTGTTCAGAACAAAAACTGCTTAAACAAAATTGTTATTGTGGCAAACAAGAGAATTGGGGTAACCCAATCCCCCCTTAACGATATTTTTATTTGTTGTATTGGCCAAAAATCAAAGCCTATCTAACACTGCTCAGACACCCTTCAAACACAGACTTCCAGCTTCTTCTCTCTGGCCGGAGCTTTAGGCTCTCCAGGATTAAAAGGAACAGATGCTGGAACTCCTTTGTACCCAGAGTAATCAGGTTTTTATATTTTTAACTTTATAATTTGCTGCTCCATGCTTCGACATTGTCTGTGTGTTATATGTTGTGTTGTGTGTTGGAAATGCCTGGCTGCAAATCATATTTCCCTCCTTGGGGGGACCATGAAAGGTGAACTGAAGTGAGTATCTGAGTCATGCTAGCTGAATAACGTTAGAGTAATCTGAGTCATGTTAGAATTTGATGAGTCATGCCATGAGAGCACGATGGATGAACAGGTGTAGCTCAGTCTCTGTGGTTCTGACTGCAGGGGTCTCAGAAGACGAAGGTCTCGGCTCATGGTCCAGGCTGGGGAGCAGGACCTGACAGGTCTGTCCTCTGTGGTCTGTTGCACAATGTGCTTCCACTCAGACCGTGTCTGGAGTTGCGTGAGAGGTTTCCATATCTCACACTCTTGTAAATCACAGCTGAACAGTAGGAACTCCGAGAAAAACTCCAAACACGTCTGTTTCCAATCTGTGCCCGGGGGTCCTGCCAAGACTGGGGAAGCCTCAGAGACCACCCCTCACTGTAGATTTATGGGCCTCATCACCTCTTAGGACTGCAGGAGTGCCGGCCCGGCTGGACCCGGCCCGGCCCGGCCCGGCTCCACTCTCCCCGTGCTCACGCCTTCAGAGCGGGGGCGCGGGTGGTGGGGGGTCAGAAAACTGAGACAAACAAACACAACAACAGTCAGGTTTCACTCACAGACCCTGTTCCTGTGGTGGACCCGACCCAAACTGGAACCAGACTTGATTGTCAGAACTGGTCTGAAGTTTGTCTCACGTCACTGCAGCTTTGTTTACTAAACAAACAAAAACAAAAGTCTTTAAACATTAAATCATCAAAAACCCCTGAAAGAGCAGAACCTGACAGACAGTCTGACCCGGGTCTGGACTGGACTTTGTTGGTCCTTCAGGGTTCGTTTCAGGACTGACTGGTCCACCAGAGGGTCCCAACCTGTGTCCCTGCTTCAGGACATGCTGGGGTCAAAGGTCGTCCCTCCACAGTACTACAGTACTGTGTGGTACTACAGTACTGTGTGGTACTACAGTACTCAGATAACAGCCCAGTCTTGTTGGAGACATTAAACTGAGCAGAACTCTTCTGTTATACTTGTGTTGTGTTACTGAGGTTGCTGGTTTGAATCCTCTATTGGACAGCAGACCTGTTTTGGCTGCATTGAAACAAAAAACCAGCCCAGTGTCACAGTGGCTTTTAAATGTTTGAACTTTAACTACAAACTGTTTAATTGTTAAATAAATAAACAAACCTCTATTTTTAT